GTCATATGGTGACTCTGTTCACAGTGGCTACAGCATTTTACATTCCTACAGCAATATATGAAAGTTCCAATTTCTCCACATCCTTGTCAACACTTGTTATTTTGTTTTTCTTTTCTTTCTTTCTCTTCTCTCTCTCTCTTTTTTTTTTAAAGAGATGGGGGTCTCGCTCTGTTGCCCAGGCTGGAGTGCAATGGTGCGATCATATCTCACTGCAGCCTGGAACTCCTAGGCTTCTCAGCCTCCTGAGTAGCTGGGACTATAGGTGTACACCACTGCAACTGGCTAAATTTTTTAAAAAAAATTTTTAATCCAGGCAATCTTTTTTGTTTTTTTTTAAGAGACAGGGTCTTGTTGTGATGTCCAGGCTGGTCTTAAACTCCTGGCCTCAAGCAATCCTCCTGTCTCAGCCTCTTTGTGGGTGTGAAATGGTATGTCATTGTGGTTTTGACTTATATTTTCCCTAATGACTAATGATGTTGAGCATCTTTTCATGTGCCTGTTTTTTTTTAAATTTCAGCATATTACGGGGGTACAAATGTTTAGGTTACATATATTGTCCTTGCCCCACCCAAGTCAGAGATTCAAGCATGTTCATCCCCTAGACAGTGCACACCGCACCCGTTATGTGTGTATATACCCATCCTCTCCTCCCCCCTCCCATCTGCCTGACACCCAATGAATGTTATTACTATATATGCACTTAAGTGTTGATCAGTTAATACCAGTTTGCTGGTGAGTACATGTGGTGCTTATTTTTCCATTCTTGAGATACTTCACTTAGTAGAATGGGTTCCAGCTCTATCCAGGATAATGCAAGAGGTGCTAGATCACCATTGTTTTTTGTGGCTGAGTAGAATTCCCACTCATGTATGAACCCACTCATGTATTGATGGGCACTAGGGTTGTTTCCACATCTTTGCAATTGTGAATTGTTTGTGTGTTTATAATAATAGTCATTATATATCTTCTTTGGAAAAATGCTTATTCAAATCCTTTGCCAATTTTTAAATTAGATTATTTGTTTTGTCAGGTTGTAAAAATTCTTTATGTATACTGAATACGAAACCTTTCTCAGATAATATAATCTACAATTTTTTTCTCATTGTGTGGGCTGTCTTTTCACTTTCTTGATAGTGTCCATTGATGTACAAATGTTTTTAATTTTGATGATGTCCAATGTTTCTATTTTTTATTTATTTTTTCGTTTGCTTGTACTTTCAGTGTCACAGTTAAGAAACCATTGCCTAATCTAAGGTCACAAAGACTTACACCTATGTTTTCTTCTAATGTGCATGTATGTTTATAAATATTATATCTTCTTAGTGGATTATTCTTTTATTATTATAATACGTTCTTTTTTGTCTCCAGTAACAGTTTTTGTCTTAAAGTCTATTTTGTCTGATATTAGTATAGTCACTCCAGCCTTTTGAGTACTATTTGCATGGAATATCTTTTCCAATCCTTTTACTTTCAAGCTATTTGTGTCACTGAATCCAAAGTGTATCTCTTTTATATAGCACATAGTAGATCGTGTTTTTTTAATCCATTCTTCTAATATTCTTTGTAACTGAAGAGTTTAATCTACTTACATTGAATGCAATTACTAATAAGGTAGGATTTACATCAAATAACAGCAAATAACTTTGGGAATTACAGCAAATAACTTTGCTATTTATTTTCTGTATCTTTTTTATTCCTCTAGTCTTCCATTACTGCCTTCTTTTGTGTTAACTAGATATTTTCTAGCTATCTATCTATGCTAGATATTTTCTAACATACCATTTTAATTCCCTTATCATTTTTTTTACTGTATGTTTTTGGTTCCTGCCTATTCCTGCATTATTATTTTTCCAGTTGAACATTAGAATCATGGTCAAGTTTCTTATTTTTAATAGTCTCAAGTTTCAAAACCATTAGAGTAAACAACAAATATTCACAAATTCTGCTTAAAGTTCCCTGGCTGCAATTGCAATTTGAACCTATTTATTCTTTTCCTCTTTTTAATGGAAAAGGCCGCTCAATACAGTCATACAATATTTGTTTACAAGCAAAATTACAGGTTAAACGCAGCTACATTTCCTTTAGCCTTCTCCATCAAATATTCCTTAATTCTAAGTATTTTTTACCTTTCTGTTGGAACTTCTCCAAATTTTTCCAACTTTATTTCAAGTAGGTGATCAGCAATTTAATGTGACTTCCAAGTACAGTGTTCCCTGATTATATTTCTCTGAGTTATACTTTTTTTTTTTTTAAGAGATGGGGTCTCCCTCTATCGCCCAGGCTGGAGTACACTGGTATGATCATAGCTCACTGCAGCCTTTAACTCTTGGGCTGAAGTGATCTTCCCAAGTATCTAGGACTATAGGCATGCACCACCATACCCAGCTAGTTTTTTTATACTTTTTGTAGAGTCAGGGGTCTCGACATGTTGCCCAGGCTGATCTCGAAATCCTGGCCTCAAGCGATCCTCCCACCTTGGCCCCTTAAAGTGCTACAATTACAGGTGTGAAACACTGCACCTGGCCCATACTTTTTTTTTTAAATAAAGATACCAAATACTGATGTTTATTTGGCTTGGATTTATAGCTAAATATTTTAAGGCCATTTTAGTGTAAGCCAATTTCTCACTCCTATCTTCTAACATGTGCAGATTTATTTTCTAACCAATTTAGTCTCTTTGTCCTTTAAATGTTTGTTTATTTAAAATATCATACTCATCTAATAATTCCATTCTGTAAGATGCTTGCCATTTCACTCACGTACCTTTGCTGTCAAATTCTACAATCTCTCTCTTAGCATGAAGACTGACAATTCCCAGTGGCACAGGTCACTGCTGGACAGATGGCACCTGGTAACTCCCTCAAATACCTAGTTAAGGATGGTTGTTTTTAGACCTCTACTTTTGCGGTCCCCGACCCCCAGGCCACCGACCAGTACTGGTCTATGGCCTGTTAAGAACCAGGCTGCACAGCAGGAGGTGATCAGCCATTGAGCAAGCAGGGGAAGCTTCATGTGTATTTACAGCTGCTCCCCATCACTGGCATCACCGCATAAGCTCCGCCTCCTGTCAGATCAGCGGCGGCATTAGATTCTCATAGGAGCGTTAACCCTACTGTAAACTGCGCATGTGAGGGATCCAGGTTGTGTGTTCCTGTTGAGATTCTGCTGCCTGATGATCTGAGGTGGAGCTGAGGCGGAGATGCTAGTGCTGGGGAGCAGCTGCAAATACAGATTATCATTAGCAGAGAGGTTTGACTGCACAATAAATGTAATGTACTCGAATCATCCCGAAACCATCACCCCAAGTCTGTGGAAAAATTGTCTTCCATGAAACCAGTCCTTGGTGCCAAAATGGTTGTGGGCCACTCCTGTACTTCACTCATTAACTCCTACTCTCTCTCCTTTTCCTCAGAGAACTTGTTAGGAAGCCAGCACCACCAGAGAGAGCCCTTGCTCCCTCTCTATTCATGCTTCATCTGGTCTGACTAAGCGACTTGTAACAGTGCATATGCTTATTATACATCATCATTGTTTTGACTCTCGTGCCACTAGTAAATGGCTGTGGCGCTTTAAAAGTCAATTGAAATGCTGACGCTGAAGAACTAGATTTGTTTTTGTTAAGACCAGTGTACAATCATCTAAGAGAAGCATGACCTATTATATATTCTCTCATTAACTGGTAAGTGGGCTTAAGTAGGGCACCCAAGTCAGGTACCACAAGTCAGATGAATTTTATATATCAATTACCATTTCATCAACCTATTCACAATATTATAAATTCTCAAACAGAATTCCAAAACTCTGCTTGAGTCTCTCAATGCCTGATAGCCATCTAAATTAAGTCTACTATAATACTAATTTTCTTCTTTTTGCCTACCAGGGGCCATTTCTGCCCTTTCTTATGATTTGGAAGGAGAAATTTAAAAGAGTCCAAGCACAATAATTGGAAGGAGGTGATCAAACAAAAAAGTTCGGGAACTCCTAAAATATATATTTAACTACCTTACATTCCTTTTGAA